TTAGTAGGGTTTTCTGAATCCACCCCACCTCTTTTCCCCCTGATTTAAAAAAACAAACAAACACTTGGCATTTCTACCCTATATAATGAGACATCAAGGGAGGGAAGGGTTATGTTCAAATGTTAATAGAATTGAATTGACTTCTGCTTTTTCAGAAATGGTCCCATCTCAAGAGAGAGAAAGAAAATATACATATTAGTTTAAACCAAAAGTAAATTTGTTTTTATTCTTTTCTGTTCTGCTACAGATGCCTTGGATCTGGATAGTCTTACACTAATTCCAAGACCGTCACTGACCCCTTTCTCATGTACAGCTAACCAAATCCATGCTTCAGGTGAAAGGCCCGCATATGGAAAAATAGAGGATGGTGCCTTGGATGTGACTAGAACACACAAGTAAGTTAAAAGAGCAAAATATACCAGATATACCTACTCTCCTCTTCTTGGGTGGCCTGTTCCTATTGCCTGACCTTTTAATCATTTAGGTTTTCATATCCTGAGATCATAACATCTTTATGGTGGAATTTTTCTCATATAAACTCTCTAACTTTTTGAACATTGACAGTTTTAAAACAAAAATGGCTCTGTGGTTTTCTTGAAGTGCAGTTTTCTTGTTCTTTTGAATTTCATAATATCCACTTGGAAATGTAATAGACAAAAAATTACGCTACCTAAAATGTTTCTCAGTGTTTGGAAATATGCTATGCACTGCTACGTTCACTTAGCTAGGTTTTGATCACACATTTATTCCTGCGCACTCAGGGTTCTCAAGCCTTTGGGAACCCATCCCTGTTCTCACACACCCTCCTCTGAAGCTCATCTGCACTCGCTTACCTTTCTCAGTGAAGACTGACCTTCCCTAGGAAGAGCTCAGGAATGGCATTGAAGATTATGGGCGCTCTCCACCCCAGGGAAATTTCTCACCTGAATTAAGGGTGAGGAAGCAGGACTTTGAATTGCAAATTCTTCATTTTCATCTTTGGCTAGATTCTCTGTAGTTTGTAACTTCTCTCTAATGACAGTTGGAGCTCTCTTTCATTTTACCTTATGAAATCCATGAATCCATAGAACTCAATTAGGAATTTTGTAAAATTGGGGCGGGGGGCAGGGGAACTATGCTGTAATTTGGTATCTGCTGAAATGGGCAATTTTCCCACCTGTAGTAATAAACCTCTCTATTGCCAGGTTCCCAGGCCCTACAATTGGCCCCCTCCCGGGAACAGATCTTTCTAATTCCATCAAGATGAATGAGGACCTAAGTATGGAAGTGAGTGTTGGACTACATTTTAACTTCACTTTTAGGACTACCATATCCTGGTCCTTTTCTATGCTAGTCTTTCCTTTTTCTTTCTTTCTTTTTTTTTTCGGGGGGGGAGGGTTGTTTTTGTTTTTGTAACAACTGCTGACTT